TAAGATCATTATTTAAATTACTTTCAATAGATTTTACACATTTTGAAGCATACTGTAAACTGTTGTCATCAGCAAATAATCTACAAAAACTAGCCATTTTGTCAGCTCCATCATTTTCATAAATTAAAAATAACAATGGACCTAACACAGAACCTTGAGGTACCCCGGCCTGCAAAGGTGCAGGCGAAGATAACAAATTTCTATACATCACTCTTTACATTCTGTTTTCTAAATAACTTTTTAACCAGAGATACACATTTCCATTAATACCATACATCTTTAGTTTTAATAAATCTTCCTTTGTTATAAGTACAAACCAGTAGAGCTACAGTCTCGCCAGAGACTTCTGGTTTGGTTTGATGATGATCAATCAGTTTGCTGGCGTAATAATTTTACGCCTAAACGCCTTCGGCGTTTTGGCAAATTATCACGTGAGCAAACTGATTGATCACATCATAAAAAAATATATTCCTTAAATAACACAGTATAAAACGGGGGCACTAAACTACAGTAGTGTGACATAAATGAGTTCGCAAAATGGCCGCCGTCAACGTAAATATTTCAGAAGGGTAGTAAATCAGTTGCTGAATTAACCTAACCGCTACTTTTAAGGACAAAATATTTTGAATGAGTTTCGGTACGACTTAATTAAAACAGTCCATTGATGTAAAATTGGATTATTCCCCTTTGATAAACAATTATCGTCCGCTTGGAAACATGGCTCCCCATGGTCGAGAACTGACTAGTAATCTAAAAAAAATAATCATACAGATGTCAAATGAAGGTCTTTCAACCTATAAAATTGAGAATTTAACCTGAATAAACAGTCGTACCATCCAAAAATTTCTCAAGCGTGTAAGGGAAAGACGTAATATAGAAAATTTACCGAGAAGTGGGGTGAAACGAAAAACTTCACAGAGAGATGACAGGGTTCTTTTCCGAAGCATTAAAATCAATCGTCGTCAGACTTTAAAGGACATTACTACCAGATTCAATGCTAGGACAGGATCTAATGTGTCACTCAGAACAGTTCACAGACGATTATCGGAGGAAGGTTACAAGAGGTGTGTAGTTTCTAAGAAAACCACTGTTTCACGCGTGAATAGAGAGAAGAGAACCCGATTTTGTAGACAGAAATTGCACTGGACAGTAAACAATTATTGGTCATCCATAATATTCAGTGATGAGACTAAGATAATTATTGGAAAAAATGATAAAGTTCATGTCTAGAGGAAGAGTGAGGAAAGAATACGTCCTGAATGTGTCGGATTGCGTGGTGATTGGGAAACGAACTGTCGGGCCTCCCTCATGTTTTGGGGTTGCATATGTTATTATGGAGTCGGCACCTTAAAAACTGTGGATGGGAACATGAATAGCGAGAAATATGTTACAATTCTTGATGGCCTGTGATCGCTCGTCATTTCCCAAACCGGCGTTGGACTTTCCAAGAAGACAATGCCCCCTGTCATGTCTCCGCCTTCTCAAATCGTTGGAAACAGGACAACAATGTTAACACTCTACCGTGGCCCCCACAAAGTCCTGATCTCAATATAATCGAAAATGTCTGGAGAGTGCTCAAAATCCGTGTACAAAGGAGGACACATGAGGTCAGAAACGCGAATGATCTGGAGCGAATCGTCAATGAAATATGGGGTAGCCTCCCTTTGCACTATATTCAAAGCTTATATGCAAGCATTCCCAGGAGAATTCGAAGTGTTCTACGCTCTAGAGGCCATATAACAAAGTATTAAAACAAAAAGGTAAGTTTTTATATAATTTTATTGATAAAAATTAGATTCAACATACCGCAAGCGCACCGCACGCATGAATGACGGCGGCCATTTTGCGAACTCACTTATGTCACACTTCTGTAGAATGGCCCGATTAGTGAGTATTAAAATCTAGAAATACCTCAGAATCACAGGTACTTGACGTTTTAAACCTTTCTCTTTAATGATAAAAATATCCCCATACTATAATAATAACAAGGTACGTCACGGTCGCCATCTTGAATTTTTCAGGTCAACTACATCGCCTCGATTTTTTGTCTACAACATGTTTAAAATCAACGGACACAACCACCAACGTTAATTACTTACCTTAGATATGTCTCAACTTTCGGGTTATTCCACTGAAATCATGTAACATCCATTCTATTTATTCAAATATCACTCCAAACTCAGTCTACTGCTTCCGATTCAGTAAATCTTAGAAAAGGGAGGCCGGAAGTTGATGCTTTTATGTAAATGGGAATATCCTTCAGTTATATTTGATTGGTTAAAAGAAAAATGACATTTCGCGGGAAAAGTCCGGCAGAGACAGCATGTGCTTTTTAAAACAACTATTACACGCTTTTCAGAGATATCCATCCACTCAGAGTTGTTTCTGTTATCTGGAATTAACACATTTTTTCCCATTGGTGTGTTTTGTTTATTTAATACATGTTATTGAGTTTTCATCCTCGTTGGAATTTTTTGTAAAAAGCTTGTTTCAACTATACATGTATCAGTCAAAAGCGAGATACATTTATTTTCAAATAACTAATAGAGGAGAAAGGGTTACAACATCAATAACATGTGATGCATACAATGTACTAGCATTAGAAAAAAAGAAAGAGATCCCGGATTAAAATAAATGGGGGGGGGGGTGTTATACCAAGTACCTGTGGTGCGCGGGGTTTTTTTTTGTTTTTTGTTTTTTTGAATTCTTTAAAGAGATCGGCAAAGTTGTATTCTTCTAAGTAAGCAGGTACTGGAAAAAATATTTCTTATGAAACGAAGGTAGACTGTTCTTAGGTTAAATAAAAGGATTGTAACAGTTATGAAGGATAATGGGTTTACAGCAGAGTCGCTTTAGTTCCAGTCCGCCATTGCTGTTGTTTGTTGACAGGATTTCGTGAAAGCAGACACTTGGAACCCATACCACCTGTAGGTCATTACTCAAAAAACAGGCAGATATATTATGCAAAGTGATTGAGGCACGTAGCATCTTTTTTTTCGGGGGGGGGGGGGGTAGAATAAAAAAAAACACGCAAAATAAATAAATAAATAAATAAATAAAAAATAATTTGAAAAAAATAAAAATAAATAGTCAGTCAGTCATAAGTGAATCCCCCCCCCTTTTTTAAAAATAATTTTCCACCGCTGAATTTAAATATATAACGTATAAAAGACCTTTTAATATCAGATGAGCTAGTGCTTATGTCTGAACCCTCATTCCACCTTCCTTTAGGTGAAATATATGTATTACGAGTCTATAAGAAATTTCAGAAGAGAGGCGAGCAAAAGTATCATGGAGCAAAAGCATCATGTTTGAGCTCTGCGTCTGGTATTTTTTCCTCCTTTTCATTTTTATGTTTTGATTTACTCCATTCAAACCCTTTTTAAATGTTTTTGACGATTCTCATAGACATCTCCTTTCTTGTATATTACAGTAATTCTTGGACCCCCCCCCCCATCTTTTTTTTAAGTGTGGGACTACTCCAATGTTAATGTAAAAAGTACACAGCATGTAGTCTGAAACCAATTATGTGCAAATATATATATGAATACGTGTCAATATAATAAGTAAATATAAAATGTGTTGTGCTCAGATTTCATTCTTTTCCCCATACGAACGTGTTTTTCAGTTCATTATTATTCCATGTTAATATAAGGACCAATCAGAAAAGGGCTATCCCGCATTATGACATAAAAGCATCAACTTCCGGCCTCCCTTTTCTAAGATTTACTGAATCGGAAGCAGTAGACTGAGTTTGGAGCGATATTTGAATAAATAGAATGGATGTTACGTGATTTCAGTGGAATAACCCGAAAGTTGAGACATATCTAAAGTAAGTAATTAACGTTGGTGGTTGTGTCCGTTGATTTTAAACATGTTTTAGACAAAAAATCGAGGCGATGTAGTTGACCTGAAAAATTCAAGATGGCGACCGTGACGTACCTTGTTATTATTATAGTATGGGGATATTTTTATCATTAAAGAGAAAGGTTTAAAACGTCAAGTACCTGTGCTCAGAATAACCAAAGTATTTCTTACTCACAAATCTATAGAATCTACCGAATTATCACCTTCTCAACCACTCTTGAAACTATCATTATTTTTAATGATAATGAGACCGATAATTTGGTTAAAGGGAAAATATTTGAATGGAAAGAACTGGCTAACATTTTTAACATATGTAAAAAAGAGAGGAGAAAAATATTTAAAGAAAACACAATTTAAATGAAGAGAGGAAAGAAAGGAAAACAAAAGTTACTGATGAAACCTCGGATGTCATTCGTAGACAAGGGCTATCGGAGCAACATAGAAATAATTTGAACCTATAAAATAACATCTTCGCAAGCCAAGGGTTTCTGATCCGCTACTCTCCTCACAAGCAGAAATCCCTGGCTAGATGATAAAACATTAAACACCGAAAAAATATTATCATTAGAAATCAAATTAATGTTTTAGTAGCATTTTTGTTAACCAGGAAAAAAGACTATAACTACCTAACATTGATGAAAGTGGGTGACAGTTAAAAAAACACATACAAAGTACTAAAAGGAAACAAAACGTCTTGTTGCTACAAGCAAATAGAAAGGATATCATCAGAGTGTGTAAAAAGCTTCCTACAACATGTAGAATCACAAACTTTTGTGGGGTCAAACTTTCGTAGTTTTGCAGAGTAAATATTGGAAGATGGGGATTTATTTTAGTGGTTTACAAAAACCATGATACTGTGTTTTTAAAAGTTTAAAGAGTGTTAGGACATCTATTAATTCATCTCTTGGTTAGGAATACATGTACATGTATATTCTTCCCACTTGACATAGACTGGATATAATCTTAATAATGATACTAAAAGTAATAACGTAGAAAGACAAGTTGTTTTTTTATATCACCAAATTATGCTTAAAATATGTGATATGTCATTTTCTAGTTGATTAATGGTATAAAGTTTCAAGCAAGAAATATTGTGCTTACTTTTTTCTCTTCATTTACCATTTAGTTTCTCTTGATCAATCCAAAGGAAATGTCCCATTACAGGATAAACTATGCAAGTGGGTCAGCAGCATCAGTGTCCTTCCTAGGAATTCCACAAAGCGATATCGACAGAACAGGTTCATTATTTTTACCAATATTAGCAATGAAATCCTAAAAAATGGATGAAAATCTCTTGAAATTACTGTGATGCATTACAAAACAAAACAAAAAAAAAAAAAGAAAAAAAAAAAGAATTATCTTTCTGACAGATTTTAATTCGTTAAATAAATCCTGCGACAAAAATAATTGTAATTATTATTGCGAAAATTTGGATGGTCATTTAAGTGTCTAATATATGCATAAAGAGGGTGTTGCAGAAACTCGTGATTATTCCCTATATCGAGAAGGACATTTAAATACTCACGACGAATGAAGAGTTATCTCTAAATATAGATAATGCTACGTAGATGACTTTATTTATACGACGGGTATGTCCAGCTTGTTATAACAAAACATTTAACATTTTACGTTTATTTCATGCATAGTTTTTTCCTAACATAGACTGGCGACCTGTAAGTAAACTTTTTTCACATCTATGGTCACTGTCGCGATATTGCACGAGAAAAGTTAAAACGATAAAAAGCACAATTAACGGCAAGTGCACCTCGCACATCATTTTGAAAGATGTACTGTGGACAGCATGCGTTAATATTTTTCAATATATAAAAATGTGTTCAATAATCACGCTGTTGTTGCAATATCCAAGAAATTCCATTGAGTCTTTCAATTTAGTGTTTTCAAGTCAAATCTATGCCACTAATTAACAGAACAATAATGAAACGAAATGCGTATGAAAAAAAATAAATTCTTTAAATTGATAGTACTTTATTTTTTAAGACATTGCCACCAAATAATAACATTAAATATATGTCTTATTAGTTTTAGATCACAAATCAAGGAAAACAATTTAATTCTGCATGCATTTAAAATATTACCCATTAATTTTCTAACATTCTATCCCTCTCTCTTTCTCTCTCAAGAGAGATGTTACATTGTACTTCCATTATTTAAAAAAAAATATATGTAAATTTATACCAGCCATTCCAGGATTCGAACCCATTCTCAGGTAAAAGAATCTTTGCATAGAGTCCATACTCTTTTCCACTAGACCAGCTCCGACAATGACCTATTACGTGCTATTTTATGTGCACATTTTACATTTCAGATGGATAATAATTTTTATTCGATTTTTGTGATTTTCAAAAATATGCCTCTTTGAAACAAAAATCGGAAATGGCAGTTTTGAAGAAAAATCCTGTCTCTTTATGCATATATCAAATTCATTCTGTTTCAAGGAGGCAATTTTTCAGAACAATGGGGATTCCCTATTTGAAAAACAGAAAACTTGACTTATTTTGCTATGTGACTAATTTACACTTCATTTAATGGCAAATTGGAAGTCGATATGCAGTTTCTAAATATTGTTCTACATTGTGCTGTATAAACCGTTGTATATGAAAAAAATTAAGGCCGTTTTCTGTTATTTAATTTTTTTCTTTTGAACTGCTACAACTTTAGGGAAAATAACAAAAGAACTGCAACACCCTCTTTCACAATGAAAATAGCGATAACCTGTGAACACAATCGTTAGGATTTATTCGAGTTCGATATTGTTTTACTTTGTTATCCTAAGGACCTAGGATACTCAAGAAAAGTTATAGGGAATTTTAAAACAGATTCTTTATGTTCAATTACTTCCAAAACGCATATTTATCAGAAAATTGTTTATTAAACAAGCCTTATTTTTCATTCTACCCAAATCTATATTTTATATAATTCAATGCAAAAATATCAGTATAGAAATATAATAAATATATAAAGTTACACTTATTTTACGATATAGCAAATATATTTGAATCTAAACACAACGAAACATATGGAGCAATCATAAAAACACCCGTTCTCTTAAGCTTGACTTTGGGTATTCTAAGATCTTGTAACTCTGATTGTCTCCGACTTTTATTTTATAAAGATTTATTCGTAGGCTATTGTGGGCATGTTCATGAGGCTATGAAAAAAGTGAAGATAATGAACAGTGGTCGATCTGAAAAAATATACAAACAATACAAATCTGTGAGTAGGGCATCAAACATGGACCCCTGGAAATCCATGGTGGGATCAGATGCCTAAGAGGAGTAAGCATCCCCTCCCCTGTCGACCATTAAGAGATGTCTCCGCTACGACTACACTTACTTTAAGGTCAGACGACACGTTTCTCAATAATATATAATTTTTCCCAAGAATTTGTCATTGAAGTACTGCGAATTGCTCCGATTAGTAAATCTTGCATTTAATTTTAACTTATTTTTACTTTTTAACAGGATACTGGGCCGTCTGGTGTATTTTCAAAAAGTTTGAAGATGCTCGCGTGTTGGCTGTAACGAAAGGATTTACGGAAGGCGCCAATGACGAGGAAAATGGATTAGCCTTTGTTAAGCAGCAGTTAATTCTAGATCCAGAAATACAGAATTTGAGTTCAACAATGCAGATAAAATTAAAGTTTGATGTGGAACTGAAACAGTTAAAACAAACGTCTTTCATATGTGCTGTTAAATTAAAAAACGAGGCCACAGGGGAAATTCTTGGAGAAAATTTTATGAAAGTGGTGAGAATAAATAGGAAAACGCGACGGCCTTCTTCATTTCCTGAATGGTTCTACAAAAAGCATGCAGTTTTCATGAATGCCGTCGGTCATCCTGGAACTGAAAAAGAAGACTTGCCTGAAATTCCCAAGCATGCTTATAAATATGTCGTTGTAGCAGGGCACAGTGACGAGGATACTAATGGTCACCTGAATCAATCCTCCTATATTCGATTTTGCATGGACGCAGCAACGAATGCATCGTTGAAAGGGTATTATGAACATTACACAAGTGATATGTGTTTGTACCCCTCATTACAGTGGACTATTAGCTATATGGGTGAAGGTCTTGCTGGTGATCAGTTGACTATATTTACATGGCAGAAAGAACATTCTCCCGACAACATAAGATTTGCTATCGTACGAAATGGGAATCAAATTTTGTATGCATCAACAGTCTTTGGGAAAACCGCAAAAGAGAAAAGGCTTTGGCATAAATTGTAAATAGATCTTTATATTTGATTTCGTATGCAAGAACACTGATCGGCATATTCTGTCGGAATACTTTGATGTTGATTTTAAAAAGATGGAGGACTTCAGCATTTACAATATTTTTTTTCTTTTTTGTGATTTTTGGCGATGGGTTTTCCAACGATCTATTGGAACTCCCATGGTCACAGATTGTGCGCTTTATTAGCGTCGAGCTGTTTTTTTTTTTTTTTAAATTCTTCTTTAGCAGAATTGATTCAAATGCTTCTACATGAGAAGAAGTCTTTTGCTGTGGCTGTAATTCGACATCAAGATATTACGACAATGTATTATCAAATACCAGTATTTATTTCCATTCATAGATCCAGTTGATATATCCCATTGATCTCGAAATAAAAGCCACGTAAAGCCACGTCTCTTTCATATTTGGACGTTCTACTGAATATAGACTTTAATGGCAATTTTACTTCGGTTATTGCCAAGATCAAAGAAATGCCGCAGGCATTATTCTCCAATAAATCACGAACGACATCAAAAAATTATAAGATTAGAAATACGTATCAAACCACTGTACAGCTGAAAAGAATATTTAACTTTAGATTCTAATACCGGTACTTATTTAGATCATATTCATGTGTCGTCTTCCGCAATTTAAACAGTGTGTATTACCTGAAAAAACCTGATAAAAGACGGTTTTTATAGCTAAATGGGACTGTTACACGGACCTTCCCACAACATTTACAATCCGTGCTTTTACTGATAAAGCAACAAAATGAAGAACTGATTTTGTTATTTTACATTCATAAATATTAATCAATAAATGTTACAAAAAAATTATAAATAATTAAAGGATATTTTTAATCCAACGAAAGCTGAAATCGTGTGCCTTCCATTGCAATCGATACCTAAGCAAACAAACAAATTGACCCTCTGGTGTTAAATGGAACAGCCTAATTGTGATATGGTGACCCAATTCGTTATATATAGAGGAAACGATCAGCCAAATTTTAAAGCTTTTAGTACAATAAACCGTTGTTTGAAATACATTTAACCTCGTTATATCGAACTTGATGGGATCGCGAAAAAAACTTCGAGATATCCGAGGATTGGAGATATCGAGGGTAAAATACTTAAAAAATAAGCGGTTGGGACTTTCAAATAACTTCGACATATCAATGGCATTCGAGATATCAGTGTTCGAGATACCGAAGTTCAACTGAATATAAGCCTCGGCTTTTATATTTCAAACAACATTTCTCGACATCGGAGGTTATACCGCAACATTCACGAAAACGCGAACTTTATTTCTTAAATAAACAAACTATATTACAAACGGGATGACTTTAGCTTTTTCTCTTATTTATGTACCAACACTCCATTATCTCCTGCATATGGATTTTATCTCACTCATTTCTTTTTAAAAACAATCAAATTCTAAACGGAGACTGGCTACTGACAAATAAGTTGATGCTACAAAGATTTCAACACACTCGTTTACAGTAAGCAATTTGAACACTTTACAGTCATTATAACGTCTTGCAAATGCAGTCTATCGTAGGATACTGCTGACTGACAAGGTTCATACCAATTGTTAAGCCACTGTTTTCAGATTAATTTTGACTGCAGATTACCCCGTTACCTGATCAATAAGTCGCCCGCGTGACGCAGTGGTTAGAGCTTCTGCTGTGGAGTCGCGGAGTAAGGAGCTGATCCTTACGCTGCGGGTTCGAATCCACTGTGGGACATGGAGACCTATCCTTCAGATGAGACTGTATAAACCAAGGTCCCGTGTCGCAGTAAGTGTTGGCACCAAAAAGATCCCTCACTGCTCAATGGCCCTAAGTGCCGAGTATAGGTATAAATTTGCTGCCCGGCAAGTGGCGTCTCCATATCAGTAAAGAATTTTGAGAAGGACGTTAAACAACAAACAAACAAAAGCCTGATCAATACATAGGGATTGCAAAGGGTTCGACAAGGGATACTTACTCATCCTAAGCACCTGATCCCACCTCTGGAATTTCCAGGGGTCCGTGTTCCCTGTTCACATAATCGTATTGTTTGTATATTTGTTTTTCAGATCAATCACTGTTGTCTTTGCCTGTTTTATTTAGAGTATTTTATAACCTTCTATAAGTAATGATTATCAAAAATAAATGGTTGAATTTAATTGGGAAAGTCGGCTTATAGTGAAAAGTATCAACAAAAATGTAACACGAGGACTAACTCATCTCAGGTTTTATTAGCTTGGTTCAACGAATGTTCAGCAAGATATTTCACCAGGACTTGCTTCTTATCTGTCCTTAAAAATAAATCCATACTGGTCAATGTCACTTTGTATTCAACGGCACATTGTATCCTACTAACAGACGTTTCCTACCTTCTCTGAGAAAGAGTTCCATTAATTAATCCCGATAAATGTATTATGAGTGTGATTACTGTGCGTAATCTTCACCTTTTTTTCATTCAATCCCGTTTCATATCTTAAAATACAGGAAACTTACAACATTATTTTATCAATACCTCATAATCTTGCCACCTACAGTGTATAGTATATATTTTAAGTTTCGGTCGGTCGACAGACAGAGAATGGTTTCTTAAAAGTTTGCTAGATAGCCATCAAACTCTCCACATAAGTTTGGTCTTAGTAATCAGATAACCTTTTAAATTTTCTAACAAACATTTGCTATAAATATATCTCTAGAACGTTATCTTAATTTTTAGCCAACTTTGTACACAAGTTTGTCATGATGGCAGTTTTCATTTTCTGGACAAACGTCAAGGTCACAAGATTTTCCATCATGTCCTTATCAAATGGTTTTCAAATACAGTATCAACGAGACCAAACCTGACACCAACGCTGTCTCCGAAAGCAGTCCAGGAGACTACTTTGGATGCCTTTCTGAAATTTGGGCCTGTCCTGGAACTGCACTTGTACTACTCTAAAAAGCAAACCAAAAATTCTACTTCGACTGCTTTCTGGACCTCTTTGTTCATCCATTCTAGCAGAATTAAGCAACCAATGTTAAAAACGATCTAGTTAATTTTAGTATGTACTCCTCTATGCTGTTTAATTTTCTCAAAGTCCAAAAATCATTTTTCATCAGTGTATAAAGAATTCTTAAAACTATTATTTGGTGTACTTAATATTATTTTAAAATTCCCCCGTTTGATATCAGAACTAGTACAAGTATTATGATTACAGCTTCATTGATGTGGCGTTCAGCCATTCTACGTTGTTCTAATACCAATTAGTATATGTTAAACATTTTGGTATATTGTCATATTTTTATCTGACCTCGGTTTAAAGTGGGGTAATTGCCTAAAACTTTTGGTTAAAAGTGGGGTAATTGCCTAAATTGCATTCAGATTATTCCTATTAATAGTAAGCGGAGTAAATCAGAAACTACATTCTGACTACAGATTCTAGGAACGATTTTTTTTATTAGTTTAGGGATTTCTGTAATAAATGTTTTTTGCTTACGGCCTTGTCCTTAAATTACCGAAGTTCTTGGTGATCTCTATATAAATCTTTATCAAAATCTGATATAACTTATCTTCCATACGAAAATGTAAACAAGGGAAGATAACTCGCTTGTGAACTATAAACTTTTGCGTAGTTCTACATATTATCACTTTATTTAATAAGATCGATCAGTCTGGATACTCTAATTCCCCTGGGTTTTTTTTTTTTAAAAGTCAACTAAACCGGATAGTTTTGGAATACTTCGAACAGTCTTGGTGAGTGTACACTTTCTTGCAATCGTCAAATTATGACTGCATTTATGTCAAGTCGGGTGATATATTGTTCCACCGATGATTTTGCAGATATAGGTGCTCGGGGAACTTACTGAAACTTCAAAGAAATGATAACCACCAAGTCTAACTGCATTCAACATTTAAAAAAATTATAACATAATCATTGTCATGGGAAAAAATGCATTATAAAAAGTTTCAATACCATTTTTCAGTTAACTGCCCAGCCAATTTTATTTTTTGCATCAAATGGTCGCTGTTTGTCAAAGTTTGTCATTGTTGCCATGGAAATAAAAAAAATTTTGGTTTTTGATTTCTTTCTCTAGATGATTCCCAATTATATGATATTGATTCTCCACAATTTGAAGGGTTTAAAATATCCAAAATCATAGATGGCTGCCGTTGCCATGGAAACAAAAAGCTTAATTGAGCTTAATTTCTTAAAGCTTAATTTTCGCTAGAATTTAAATATTCGTTGCATCTCAAATATAGCACCCTTTGATTCATTTTGGAGTATAGAGCGAAAGCTCAGTTCGAGGTGACAATTATGCTATTGCTTCAAACAGTGTATTATAGCAAAGTGTTTTTGCTATATGCTGTGCGTTTCTAAGAGGTACATTTTGGTATAATAGTCCCAATTTAATGCCAATGTCCTCTCTATTTCTCGCAAAATAAATCGATCACAATATGTATAATTCCTCGGGTAGAAATTTTGTTATATGGTTCATGTAAAAAGTCGGAAACCAAACTTTTGGGAATCCTCTATAGCAATTGTTTGTACAACTGTATATATTTTAATTAAAAAAAAAACACATACACACAGTATGCGAGTTTGCGATTGTTTCGGTCAAAATAGGGCAAATGCTTGAAAATCAAGTTCAGGGCCTATAATCACTTCTCGTCAAATGCAGCCCGATAAAAATTCAGCATATCAAGAATTTCATGAATCTGATGGAATCAGGAAGTTTCTCATCTCATAAAATAATTCATTCCCTGCATGTCTAGTGCAAAAATTATCGCATTTTGAGGGGGGGGGGATTCAAGAATAATTTTTCTAATGTTTCGACATGAACCTCAAACGAAATACTGATACGGCACCTATATACAAGTATTTTTTCAGTGACAGATCGTTTTCTATTTCTTCTTGTTGTTTAAAATGATAATACATTTTTCCAAATATAAAACTTAGAAGATACATGTACTTAAAATGATGATAAATAATAACATTAACAACAATTAAGTTTAAAAAGAGGAGTTTCATTTTTCAGCAAATAAATTATTAATCATATCGTTTTTAGCGTCTGATAGTAACGACATACAATTCAAAACAAAACCAGTCATACTTACGGTTGTTTACTTCTTTATTTTTGACAGTGCAGGTGTAGCTGAATCCAATCCAAACAATGTCCCATTACAGGGTAAACAGAGTTAG